AATTAAATGGATAATCGACATTATATTTTATTCCTCTACTAAAATGGTGATAACTGATAATAAATGATTAATGTTTGATTAGCATTAAAAATTATAATTTTAATTATAATTATAATTTTTAATTGTATTTTAAATTTTGTAAAATTGTAAGTAACGCGAGTCTAGCCTAAAATCATCATGGTCAGCTGTATTTTGTGCGCTCGGACTCAGAAACAAAAAAATGAAAACGAAAATATTACATTTCACATTTTCACCATAATATTATTATATATTTGTATATTATAATAAGAACCACTAGTATATATATTTTTTTGTAAAATTTGTTCTTCTTATTTTAAAATTAATTTTTATTATTCCTAATAAAATAATGTGTTAGTATATTTACAACAATTTATTTTTCATATGATGGTTGCACTGCAAGTACCCCGTTTTCGCTTCACTTTTAGAATGATATGGCCACCCCTTGGCTGCAACTGTGGAACGCACTGATACGTGCACATGAAAATGATAACAGAAACACACAACATAAATTCGTTTGCAGCGCAAACAATTTGTTTTATTATTTGTACGATGATGTAATTTGTTTTTGATACTGTGATCACTGATCACTGTTATTTTATGTATTAGTAGCAGCCAGCAGGCACTGATACTGCTACTCGTTCAGTCACAGTGAAAAGTAGCAGTGACTGCTACTTTTTAACATTACTAGTTCTGTGACGGTAGTACCACAGAATAACGTAGTACCCACGATTTAAGTATTAAAATAAAATAATATAATATTGCAAGTTACTATTAAGAGATGCCTTTCATATAATACATTATAAAAATGGTTCAGCGTTGTTTTGTACCAGAGTGTACTACTGGTAACTACAGGTATAACAAACAACAAAAAACAAGTGGGTTAAGAAATAGAAGTTTATTTAAACCACCTCAAGTAAGAAATCAAAAAAATTTTATTTTATTTATGAAAAAACATTTTCCTATTTAAATGTTTGTTACACATTTTATCTAGAATCAAAGGCTTTTTGCAAAATGGTTTGTAGCTATACCCCGAAAAGATAAAGTTCTCTCAGAAAGTTCTCGTGTATGTGAATTGCATTTCAAAGAGAATGATATTATACGATATGACGAGACTATTTTATTCGATGGAACAGTCGATGTAGTAAAAAGAATCAGAGCTTTATTAAGAAAAGGCGCAGTTCCATGTATATTTCCTAACCTTCCATGTAGTTTGACAGAACATAACAATGAGACTAATTACATAGAACCTCCTACAGAAAGGTTTTTATACAATAAAAAAAAAAAATCTAAACTAATTCCGGCACGTTCTGATACGAGTGAAATGCAATGCTCTGAAAATATCGAGGAAAATATCAACCAACAATTTTCTTTTCAGTATTTAAAAAAAAACCTTAATAAATTAGAAAAACCTGATAGTAAATGGATGTTTGAATTAAAAGATGATGAAGTAGAACTTGTGAGATGGAATCGTCAATGTTCAAAAAAAATAACAATTTCAAATGACTTAAAAATAAAAGTAAGCAATTATTTAGTCAAAAATAAAGTTAAACAACTTTTATGCACAATCTACAGGGGTGTATTGGAGCGTATACGGTTTATACTCATAATACAATTTTTAAAAAAAAATGCTTACCCTTGAAAAAAATATTAATTTTATAATATTGGTGAAAGGCAGTGGGCGATGGGCAATGAATATATTATTTTTTTCTTTGTAAATTCTATTTGGTTACGCCGTACCACCACTACACCGCTCGAGAACTATATAATGTAATCATAAATATAGCTGATGTGTAATAGATCATATTATTATAAGGTCTTTGAAATATTTCAACTACTGAAAAAATTTACCGTGGATAGTGGATACAATTATATTTATATTATAAGTAGGGCTGGGATTTTAATGCCCTAAAAAATCCCAAAAAATGTCCTAAAAAAATGCTTTTATGACCTAAAACTCTAAATAATGCCCTAAAAACACCCAAAAAAAAAAGGCTTTTATGATTTAAACATTTTTTTTTTATTAATTTTGGTATAAATTACAATAAAAAGTTTAAAAAAATCTATTACAAGTGTAAGCTGTCAATACATAGTTTTAGTAAAAAAGTTAACTAGAAACGGTGTTAACGACGACAAAACTCGTACTGAACGTCAAATGATATCATCGGACCGATTTAAGATTATTTAACAGGAAATGCGTTTAGAGGTTACTCAAACCTTGTCCGATAATATAATACGAATTACGAATACCTACTTATAATCTGTTATATTTATTTAAAAACCATGTTGGTGTAAAAATCTTAAAATACAATTTCAAATTCATACCAAAAACTCAAAAAATGCTCCAAAAACTCTAAAATGCCCTAAAAAGTTAAGAAATTGACCTAAAAACTAAAAAATGCAAAATAAACTTTCTTATTCTCATTCAAATGTACATAAAACAAATTTGTGACAAGACGAGCATTGCACAGTAAGCTTAGGAAAACAATGCAAAGTGCATCGAAATCCCAGCCCTAATTATAAGACAACTGGTAAAACGGTGTTACGGTGTAACAGAAAATGTTACAAGTGTATACACGGCTTTAGGGAACTAAAGAGTAAGCAACTAAAGTATGTTTTTTGATTTATTTTCTAGCGCAAGGGAAAAAATTGTTGATATATATTTTAGTAAAATATAGCTTCTACTCAAAACATTATATACCAATACATCCCTGCAAATTTAAAATGTTATTCAATATTAAATTCATATTATTCTAATTCTATATTCATTAAATGTTGACAGATTTTTTTTAGTGGTATTGAAATTTTATTTGATCACATTATTAATACAATTTTATTGAGCATGGATGAAACAAATAAGTTATTGAACTATATACATTCTTTAATAGAATGTAAAGGAATAATGACAACAGAAAATAACATTACCAGGTAAAAAATGTAATATGTAAAATATATTGTTTTTCTAATTTACATATAGAAATAATGTTAGTTGTTAAATAACGTCTCTTACCTATATATGTTTCTAGACGGTCTATTACATGCAAGGGTTATGTTGAAATACGTCTAGGGCAACGTGGACCCAAGAGTAATTATTGTTTTGACTGCAGGATAGCTCGAAAAAAAATGGCTGATGGTTTGAGAAGAAAAGTATTAAAACTTGAAAATAAGATTCAAAAAAAATAGAAATCGCTATACAATTTAAGAAAATATCTGACGTTAGAAATAAGGTCAGTTATAACCCGTCCAGTTCATCTTGGCTATTAACGACCATTACGATTACTATCTTATAATGTAAAGTAATACCAACTGTGACGTCAGCCGATGGCCAAGATGTACTGGATGAGTTATAATATAATATTAACACTACCTAAAATAATCTAATGAGTTTTTAAATTCAAATTAAAGGGTTTATATTATAATTAGGGCTAGGAATATAACACCTAAGAAAAATATTTATATGCCCAAAAATTTTAAACAATGTATCTATAAAATGCATTTAATTTTTTTTATTTTAAAGGATTTTTAAAAAAAACCGGTTTTTAGTATCATATACCTAACCATAAAATGCTTTAAAAACGAATAAAATAAAACAATGCACAGTGTATTGAAATCCCAGCCCTAATTATAATATACAATATAAGAACCAAATTTAACAGATAATGCAAGTTAATCGAAGAATACATTTTTAATTTTCAAATAATTATAAACTTCTGTTATTATTAAAAATATGTTTTTGCCATACAACAATAAGATAACCTAGCTACTAATTACTACAAAGCACATACTTAAATAATTATATAATTAGATTCATATTAATTATAACATTTAATTTTAAAATTGTAATTTTTGTAAATTTAAATTACAGATTGTATGTTTTTTAAAATAAAGTTAAAAAAAAAAAAATTGTAATTTAAGAATTATTTTTTACATTGTTTCAATCGTTACAAAATATTTTTATAATATCAAAAACCTTTTAGGTTTTAATTGTGTATACTATTTTGTCTATTTGTTATTATAAATGTTTAGAATATGTCTAATAATATAATTTATGTATTATACTTATAGTAGTAAATATTTGTATTAATTATGATCAATATTTACTTAGGTCCACAGCTATAAGTCAAAAATATTAACACGGTAGTACCCACGAATTAAGATATACTGTATACGGAACGGAATGTGATAAACTGAATACACTATTTGCTAAGATGTGTCAAACCACCTAGCGCTACTTTGATGAGTGTTTTTTTCTATCTGTGGCCAGATTTAAGATAGTACTATCTTAAATCGTGATCTGCAGTAAACATTTTTGCTAATAGAAATAATGCTTCTATAGTTCTATTTTCAACTTAATAATATTTTCTGGTGGGACAAATAATCTAGTTGGTACTTTTGAGTGGTAATTGACTCGGATTTTTAGGCAGAACCGCAGAAGCAGTTTTCGACCAAATAGATTTAGTTTTTTTTATGCAACTAAAAAACTTAAAGCCACAAATATTTTAAATTTTATTTAGATGTTTGTATTAGCATTTTAAAATACATCATATAAATTTCAAAATATTTTGACTCTTGCCCTCATTTTTTGTGACACAAATCAAATACAATAATACATATTATTGTAATATTATAGTATATTTAAAAAAAAAGTGCGGGAATATAATACAACTAGAGAGCGCTAGTATTCTTGACACAGCAGCTGATTGTCTTGGCACTTTTCAGTTTCATTTTATAGACGGATAACCTGCGCAGCTCCATTCCGTATCCAGTTTATTATCTTAATTCGTGGTATTGCCCAACTGTCCAACTATATCATGGGCCATGGCCTACCTCATCTTCTAAGCTTCAATACTTAACTGTTTTGTGTTTATATTTTTTTATCATTTTGCTTTGGAGTTTGGGTAACTAAGTATTAAAATATTATAAAATAATATAATATTGCAAGTTACTATTAAGAGATGCCTTTCATATAATACATTATAAAAATGGTTAAGTGTTGTTTTGTACCAGAGTGTACTACTGGTAACTACAGGTATAACAAACAACAAAAAACAAGTGGGTTAAGAAATAGAAGTTTATTTAAACCACCTCAAGTAAGAAATCAAAAAAATTTTATTTTATTTATGAAAAAACATTTTCCTATTTAAATGTTTGTTACACATTTTATATAGAATCCAAGTCTTTTTGAAAAATGGTTTGAAGCTATACCCCGAAAAGATAAAGTTCTCTCAGAAAGTTCTCATGTATGTGAATTGCATTTCAAAGAGAATGATATTATACGATATGACGAGACTATTTTATTCGATGGAACAGTCGATGTAGTAAAAAGAATCAGAGCTATGTTAAGAAAAGGCGCAGTTCCATGTATATTTCCTAACCTTCCATATAGTTTGACAGAACATAACAATGAGACTAATAACAGAGAACCTCCTGCAGAACGGTTTTTATACAATAAAAAAAAAAAATCTAAACTGATTCCGGCACGTTCTGATACGAGTGAAATGCAATGCTCTGAAAATATCGAGGAAAATATCAACCAACAATTTTCTTTTCAGTATTTAAAAGAAAACCTTAATAAATTAGAAAAACCTGATAGTAAATGGATGTTTGAATTAAAAGATGATGAAGTAGAACTTGTGAGATGGAATCGTCAATGTTCAAAAAGAATAACAATTTCAAATGACTTAAAAATAAAAGTAAGCAATTATTTAGTCAAAAATAAAGTTAAACAACTTTTATGCACAATCTACAGGGGTGTATTGGAGCGTATACGGTTTATACTCATAATACAATTTTAAAAAAAAAATGCTTACGCTTGAAAAAAATATTAATTTTATAAGTTTAAGGTGGGTATTAATTGGTGAAAGGCAGTGGGTGATAGGCAATGAATATATTATTTTATTATTTGTATTTTTTTCTTTGTAAATTCTATTTGGTTACGTCGTACCACCACTACACCGCTCGAGAACTATAGAATGTAATCATAAATATAGCTGATGTGTAATAGATCATATTATTATAAGGTCTTTGAAATATTTCAACTACTGAAAATATTTACAGTGGATAGTGGATACAATTATATTTATATTATAAGACAACAGGTGGAATGGTGTTACGGTGTAACAGAAAATGTTACAAGTGTATACGCGGCTTAAGGGAACTAAAGAGTAAGCAACTAAAGTATGTTTTTTGATTTATTTTCTAGCGTAAGGGAAAAAATTGTTGATATATATTTTAGGAAAATATAGCTTTTACTCAAAATATTATTTACCAATACATCCCTGCAAATTTAAAATGTTATTCAGTATTAAATTCATATTATTCTAATTCTATATTCATTAAATGTTGACAGATTTTTTTTAGTGGTATTGAAATTTTATTTGAGCACATTATTAATACGATTTTATTGAGCATGGATGAAACAAATAAGTTATTGAACTATATACATTCTTTAATAGAATGTAAAGGAATAATGACAGCAGAAAATAACATTACCAGGTAAAAAATGTAATATGTAAAATGTATTGTTTTTCTAATTTACATATAGAAATAATGTTAGTTGTTAAATAACGTCTCTTACCTATATATGTTTCTAGACGGTCTATTACATGCAAGGGTTATGTTGAAATACGTCTAGGGCAACGTGGACCCAAGAGTAATTATTGTTTTGACTGCAGGATAGCTCGAAGAAGTATGGCTAATTGTTTGAGAAGAAAAGTATTGAAACTTGAAAATAAGATTCAAGAAAAATAGAAATCGCTATACAATTTAAGGAAAACATCTGACGTTAGAAATAAGGTCAGTTATAACCCGTCCAGTTCATCTTGGCCATTAACGACCATTACGATTAATATCTTATAATATAAAGTAATACCAACTGTGACGTCAGCCGATGGCCAAGATGTACTGGATGAGTTATAATATAATATTAACACTACCTAAAATAATCTAACGAGTCTTTAAATACAAATTAAAGGGTTTATATTATAATTAGGGCTAGGAATATAATACCTAAGAAAAATATTTATATGCCCAAAAATTTTAAATAATGTATCTATAAAATGCATTTAATTTTTTTTATTTTAAAGGAGTTTTTAAAAAAACCGGTTTTTAGTATCATATACCTAACCATAAAATGCTTTAAAAACGAATAAAATAAAACAATGAACAGTGTATTGAAATCCCAACCCTAATTATAATATACAATATAAGAACCAAATTTAACAGATAATGCAAGTAAATCGAAGAATACATTTTTAATTTTCAAATAATTATAAACTTCTGTTATTATTAAAAATATGTTTTTGCCATACAACATTAAGATAACCTAGCTACTAATTACTACATAGCACATACTTAAATAATTATATAATTAGATTCATATTAATTATAACATTTAATTTTAAAATTGTAATTTAAGAATTATTTTTTACATTGTTTCAATCATTACAGAATATTTTTATAATATCAAAAACCTTTTAGGTTTTAATTGTGTATACTATTTTGTCTATTTGTTATAATAAATGTTTAGAATATGTCTAATAATATAATTTATGTATTATTCTTATAGTAGTAAATATTTGTATTAATTATGATCAATATTTACTTAGGTCCACACTCCACAGCTAAAAGTCAAAAATATTAACACGTTCGCTGCGTAAAACGCCAATTTTCGTTATTGTACATAGTTCGCATATACTGAATGACGCCAATTGGCGTCAGTTACCTTGTTATTTAATGGACTATAATTTGGTCAGCGTTACGATTAAAAATTTGGTTTTTTGTCAGGGTCTTCTATAAGCATTGTTTCATAATCAGGTGCAAACCGTACACTGATATTTTAATTTTTCAATTTTAGGAAATTTTTTTTTAAAACTAGAATTTTATCCGCGTCACAACAAGTATACAAAAATATGATATGCTGTGAACGTGTTAACTCTGTAAACTTGAGAAAATAATTTGAATAACCAAAAATAGCATGGGTAAATAATCCCTATTACAGGATGATTTTTTAAGCATGATTATCCTATTTTTATGCTTAAACTAAACATATTCTGAATTTTGGAATTTTTAAATACATGTGGAGACCATATCTTTGAATACTTTAATTTTTTTGTAGCACTTAAGGATAATCCTGTGACAAGACAAACTTCTTTTTTCAAATAGGAACCCACCTTTTCACTTTTAATTATTCAGCGGATATTTTTAAGAATTTTGATACATCTAAATCAAAATTTGAACTTGTAGTTTTTGAATTTTACAACTTTGTGTATTTAAGGATAGTATGGTAATTAAGGTACTGGTTCACAGTTGACACCCGTTAAGAAAGTAATCTTCCGCGACTCAGATTTAGTAGATGCCCGCCACTAATAAGTAATATTTCTTGTATTTTTGATGTTCTAATCATTTGTTATTCAATTTATTATTGGTACTATTGTCACGTTAAGTTCATTTTTTTGATTTTTTCCCTAAAACTTAATTTTATATAAAAAAAAAAATGTAATCAGAAATATTAAATTTTGTTGTTATAATTATTATCATAATAATAATATAATAATAAACCAATAATGGTATTATTGGTTATAATATTGAATATTCGTAGGATATATTATACTATTTTAGATATCTGATAAAATACACAGAAAAGTTATAAATGAGTTATTCAGAAAATAAATATATATTTTTATATATTATATACTCAGTTTTCCATACATATCTTTTGTATACTCAATTATCATTATATTAATTGAAAGTTATTAGATTGTACTTATTATTATATTTTTATTAATTTATAGAATTAAGAATTAATTAATTCTTATACATTTTTAGTTGAATGAAGATTATAGTATGGATCAACAAAAGATTATAAACAACACAATGAGTTACAATAATAATAAGTAATATTCACTATCACTAAAACACATAACTAAGTATGAAAAGTAAATTGTCTTATAACAATGTAAGGTCTATGCTTACGAGACATACATGACGTACACTTAAGCAATACTATAATGCAGTTTCTACAGAGTGCATTTGGTCGTCTTTATATATAAGTGACCTTATGACCCTGTTACAGAAATATGCGGTGGCGTGATTTACATTTACATTAACAATTCGATGCACATTGCAATTGCTCATATTATGCAATATGCTGTAACATTATATAATATATTAATTATATTTTCAAAATTTTTAACTACAAAACAATTATTAAATTTAAATTTTATTTTTTGTCAAAAATAGAACTTAAAATGCTCATAAAAAAAATGTTTGAAAATGTTTTTTTAATATTTTTCAACCGCTTTGTAACAATATATCAGGAGCTTTGTATTAAATTTTCACTCATTTTTACCCCAAAAAAAAAATTGTATCCATAATTATAGACAAAAAAACTAAAATAATTTAAATTTGAAATTGTCGTCCGTAAACAGCTCAAAATATTTGGAAAATTTTATGGTGTATAGAAAATGAGAATTTAAACTTTCAGTCAAATATTGATGTATCTGCAGTTATCTGTTTTTGAATTACAACAAAATAACAAAATCGCTACATGATAAATCGAGTGAATATTCAATCATAAGAATTTAATTTGACTGTGGTCTGTGGTAGAGAGTTTTTTGTTGATAAAGGTAGACAAACTTATAAGAAATGTTGGATTTAAAAAGAAAAATTGTTATGAATTTCTAACCCCAAAATAATTTGCACATTTTCATGATTTTTATGTGTTTTTTCAACATTTGAACTTTAAATGCTTATAAAAAGACCCTTGCCAAGTCAGGGATCGGCATTTAAACTTTCTTTATTTTTAATTTTTAGAAATTTATTAACTGATATCACACCCAAGCGGTATATAAATTTGAATCCAGAAAAATGTCTGTGTGAAATTATTTTCATTTTTATTTAGTGAGATAAATCTCTGAAACCGGGAGCGGATTTCATTGTTTGGTGTCTTGTTAGATTCACATTGGTTAGGAGAAGTGCAGTGAAGATTTTCAGAACTTTATCTTTAATAGTTAGGTAACACCAACCTATGGAAAAATCCCGGATTTAATAGAAAAGAAGAAACCATAATCAACAGACTTCAAATAGGACATACACACCTAACGCACAGCTACTTGATGAGTAATGATGAACCTCCATTATGCGACACATGCAGTCCTTCTAACAGTAAAACACATCATCACCAAATGCTATAAATACAACCAGTACCGCGATCAATTCCACATCTCCGAACAAATCTGCCAAGCACTTGGACCAAACCCACAGGACACAAACAACTTAATTTTATTCTTAAAAAAATCAGAATTGCATAATCTAATTTAAAAAAAAATATGTAACATATTGTAAATACCACCTAACTTAACACCTTGTACTAATGACCTAGATGTCGATGTATTTAAGATCAAAAAAAAAAAAAAAAATCATTTTTTAAATATATTTAGTCATTAAAATCGAATAAATCTAATATTCCTACAACTGTCTTTCTAGATAATGTTACGTCAGATAATAATTCGGATTCTACAAAACTTTTTGCAAATTATTTTTCCTCGGTTTATCATGTTGATAATCGTAACATATATTTTAACGATTTTCCAATAATATAAATCTTAATCAAACTTGGCACATTTCAGAATGTGAAATTGAAGATAATCTGAATACTCTCAATAATAAATCGGGCGTGGGGCCGGATGAGATCCCTCCCTCATTTTTAAAATCATGCATGATTCCTTAGATAAAACCACTACACTATTTATTTAAATTATCAATTTCTAGTGGAGTCTTTCCCGATTGTTGGAAAAAATCTTTTATTACACCAATTTTTAAATCAGGCGATATATTATACGCAATTATAGACAAATATCAAAATTATCACTTATACCTAAAATATTTGAAGCTCTAACTACAAATAACTTGTTACATTAATATCTAATTACATAAATCTTTTCCAACATGGTTTTAGACCAAAACATTCTATTCCTACCAATCTGTTAAGTTACCAAATTCAGATTCTACAATCATTTGAAAAGTGCCAGCAGATTGATGCTAAATATACTTATATTAATATTACTTTCAGAAAGCATTCGACAAAGTAAATCATGGTATTCTTTTATACAAATTAAATTCATTTGGTTTTAGTGGAACGTTTCTATTATGGTTATCATCTTATCTCTCTCTGACCGGTTTCAGATTGTAAAACTATTAATGGGCTAAAAATGGTTATAAAATATTTTTAAAAAGTTTTTACTATTTGAATTCAAAATGTTTTTTACAACTGAATTAACTTAGTATGAAAAAATAATGAGATTTAAAAAATTTGTTTGTATTTTTCAAACAAATTTACATCAGATTTTAAATTTTAAATTTTCAGTATTAAAAAATAAAAATAAAAAATGCTATATTATACAAGTAGCGCAAGTATCAATAAATTATAAAACAAAAAACTAAAAATATTGATTAAAACAAAAGTTATTTCATTTGTCAGGTCTTCCTGTTACAACCTGTATATATAAAAATGTTTTTAAATTTTATTTATTTTTATACATCTATACATATAGTGAAAAAATACCAATGGAGTAACCCCTCGTGTGTACGCCCCACTATGCATTGGAGTAGCAAACTTTAAATCATATGGAAGCGAACAAATTATTTATGACCTACCCCAGCCTACTCCAACTGATGTTATGATACTCTTATGCTCAAATACTGGGGGTTGACTAGTACCCAAAATAAAGTTCAAAGACTCACCGTGTATGTGGGCTTTATGAGGTTATGATGCTCCACTGCCCCCCAGAATCCAGAAGCACTGTGCCACTGCCACACTGCCAATGTGTTGTAGCACCGTATTATTAAACATTACAATTAGTTATAAGTATTTTTAAAGAATGTAAAGAAAATCATATATTTATTAAAAGTTTATAAAATCAAATTAAATAAACATTTATTAAAGATTCATTTTTGAACGTAATTCTGCTAATGTAATAAAAACAGCTTCTTCAGTTCTAATAGTTCTAGAACCTTGGTTTGGACATGTATTTAAATAAACGTTGAATAAAGTAGATGGATTTTCTTCATCAATGCTTTGATCAGCTTCTAATGCAGCTTCAAGTCCATGAACTCCTCCAAAACATATCAACGCATGCTTAAAACTACCAAGTTGAGTATGATCTGTTTGATCAATATCAACACCTTTATCAGATGTACCAATTTTTAAATCATATCCTCCAGGATACGGGCACTTAGTAAATACTTCATTTATTGAATCAGCATTCCTTACTGTGTAACCCCAGTAAATACCAGATTCATTTTTGGGTGTACTTGGAGCTACAACAATACCTTTTTGACGTTTAGATTCATCTGAATTTGGAATTAGTTTAACAGTAACTCGTACATACGGTTGAAGACATTTATCAACTAGTACATGTTTTCTAAGACCAACATCGACATTACAGCCTTTACCTTTTTTTGGTGGAAGTGTTGACACCACACCCTCTCTGAAAATTAAAACAACAATACTTTTAATATTCCTTTTATAATATATAAAAATTATTCACAGAAATATGTAGGAAGTAAAGTTTGTCTAGTATAAATTTTAGATTAAATAAAACAAAATTTAACAAAATATCAACATATTAACTTATTCTAAAATAAGTCAGATTAACTATTTATAAAATTATATGACTGATTATGATTGTATTTTAGCTATTGTGCTTTTTAGCTACATTTTAGTAAGGTTGGGTAAGTTAACTATTTTTTTCTTAACTCATTAGATAAATTAATATTGAAAAATGTCTGTAAAAATAACTCTGTTTATATATTTTTAGTTATTTTGGTTACAGTATGAAATATTTATGAGAATCCTTATTTTAAATATTCAATCCTTAGCTATTAAAATTTACCATTTTATAATTTTTTAATTACAATAAATTTGAAAATTGTCGATATTTTGATAAATGTTTTCAAAATTTGAACTTAAAATACTTATAACAAAAAATTGTGCCTATGGACCTTGAATATTTATCAACTGCTATTATAACAACTTATAAGGAACCTTGTATTAAATTTTCAAGCTTTTTGGCCCAATGAATACAATTTTATTTACATTTATAGAGTAAAAAACTAAAAAAAATAAAAATGTCTATTACTAACTCAAAACGAATCAAAATATTTTGAAAGTTTTATCATGTATAGCAAATGATAAAATAAGCATTTGAAGAATTCATCAAATAACTACCTTACTGGACAACGACAATCGTTGAATGAGAATTTGTTAATTTAAATAGCATCCAATGTTTAACTTCAAAAGCTCATAAAAAATTAATTTGACTTTCCGGTAAACTTTTTTTTTGTTAAATGTAAAAAAACTTTAGGGGAATCTTGTATTATATTTTTAAAGCTTAGTTATAAATAGAACATTTTTGTATGAATTTCTAACTCAAAATAATTTGCCAATTTTCGTGAATTTATGAATTTTGTCAAATATTTTGTTAATATCAGTCACTCATAAAAAGTTATTTTGGATTTAAGCTCAACTTTTTTTCTAATTTTCACTAACAACAACTTATGAGAAACGTTGCATTACATTTTGACAGAGAAAGAATTTTTTATCGACAATAATATTTAAGAGGATGTCAGCGCCCTATTTGTTTTCTCTCTCTCTGATTATTGTAAAATCAATACATTCATCCATGAAGACTAGAAGGAGACCAAACTCGTACAGCCCCTTGCGGCCTTGCATGAAAGACCGTTCCGAAATGAGTTGCACGATTGTTACCACAGCCACAGGCTGCACTGTGTACACTAGGGTTGCTACCTTAACCAGCTTAGTATAGGGATTATTCATGTTTTTAGAGTTTTTATTAAAAATATATTATGCATTATTTTGAACTAAAACCTCATTTAGATTTTACAGCTTGTACGATTACGCATTAATACATGCGAATATGTGTATTTCTCATAAATATTATTTTTATTATAGTGTAAATAATTAAATTATACACATTTTATACCTGTGTTATTTATACCCGTTTTATATCTGTGTTCACAGTAAGTCCAAGCTTGATACTATTAAATAGACTATATGCATGTTTCCTTGAATGATTGTTTTACACCGATAGGTATGCATTGTTATACTCAAATTTGTTTTTAAAGAATAACATGTTTATTAAACATATCCATATGCACATGTTTAAATGTGTAATCATACAAGCTAGAAAATATAAAAGGAACATGGTTCAAAATACTGCAGATATTTTCCGAAAAACACAAAAAACATGATTTATCCCAATAGTATGAGGGTTAAAGTAGCAACCCTAGAGTACGTAGCCTGTGGCCATTTAATCGTGCGACTCATTTCAGGATGTTATCAGAAGCCGAGTTTGGTCTCTTCATGAATTCATCGCTCATCTATAATTTAAGTCAAGTTTAAAGTTAGAAGTTATTTTTATTTTTTGTTAACTAGAAAATAAAAGTAACTTAACTTTAACTTTTTAACACGTTAATGCTCAGCCTATCATTTTAGCCTTGTTATTTTTCTAAATATTTAAATATTGAATTGGCATTAAAATTTCTTATTGAATAGTCTACTAAGTTGGCTGATAGTTATCTATGATTTGGAGTGTAATACATAATATTTGATGAAATTAACTTAACACAAATTGGCGGATTTGGTTTTTTTTTTTAACAATTGATAGCTTTAATTTTTAAATTCACTAACAAAAATGTATACCTAGGTTTATATTATTTATAGAATACCTATAATTATTATTAAAAAATAAAACATACCGAAATGGGACATTGTCTTCTTGTCTAAAATGATGTGGTGCATCTAGTGGATTCAATACTCCAGTGTATTTTAAGAAGTTGTGAATTGGAAATAATATTCTTCTCAAATATTGTGGGCATTCCAAGTATTGTAAGATTATGGCCAATTGTTTACACGTTTTTGAACCACCTTCGGTTTTTTTGTTGGATATCATCACATTAGTCTGTTCGCCCACATCATCAAAAACTACGATCTAATAAAAAATAACAGGTAAGAAAATGTTTAACAATAAATTAATAAAAACTCAATGAAACAAACCTCATCAATTTTGTAAATACACGCAGCTCTTGCAATTTGTCCAGCCAGGTATGTTCTGAATTCTGGAGACTGAGCATTATCTAAAATGGACCCTGGTACGGCTATGGTGACAGTAGGCAACTGTCTTACTTTGGAAGGCTTAACTTTTTCACTGATTTCAGTGGTTTTAGAAGTATCAATACTATCGTCTATTATTACCTTTACTTTTTCCGGATCTGTTTTTTTTATTTTAATTTCATGCTCAGTTTCTACACCTTCATTTATTTCGACAACTTCAGGAAGTTTTTTTTTTTTTTTACTCTTTTCCACATTTTTATTTTTACGCTTTTTATTATTGTCATTGTTTTCGACTTCAAAGGATGCCATTTCAAGTCTTGGAATTTTAAAGAATTTCTTCAACCGAACTTGGTATAACTTTAAGCAAATTAATAATATGTATTTGGATTTTGGAGACTTGGGAGTTGTTTCAAATAATCAATGATTGACGATCGTCACGTGTTATTCTTATCAATACAACTTATCGTGGAGATCATGATAATATTATCATCATTTATTTATCTATCCTCTCTTGATGGAGTTGGAGACTATTATCACAGAATAATTTGCACGCGGGAGTTTTTAATGATTATAGTTTAATCTTTAATGTTATGAAATTTTAAAAAAACGTAAAAAGACGTGATTCTTTATTTTTAACATGCAATTTTTTTATAACAATTTCAAAATTTTTAAGCACTCAGGTGTACCAATTGCAAAATCAATTTTATTTTTCAAATGGTTATCACTATATTTAGTATTCTTCTCAACCTTGCTGTAAAGTATTTGAGTAAAAGTATTCAAATACTTTTTTCCGTATTGAATACTTTTTCAAATACTTTTATTTTTGAAGTATTTGAACGGTATTTTAAATACATTTTTTTACTTTTGATACTATTTTATTGAATACTTTTTTTATTCCTTCAACTTTTTATTCATTGTCAAATAATAATAATGTCTTAATAATATTATAATATATATTTATCATTTATGAACAATTCTATATTGGTTTTAGTTTTCGTCTATTAATAGCTAATTAATATTAGTTACTCTGAGAAACCGTCTGTTTATCGTCGACACTCGACGACAATTGGAACGGTACGTTTCGGTACCTACTACCTACCAATATAGTATATTATCATAGCGAAATATAATACGAACATTAGGTAGGTAAGGTATGTCGCAGGACCGTATTACCGCTTAGGCTGTGTAGGCTAAAGCCTAGGGCGGCAAATTTTGAAGGGCGGCAAATTTATTTTTGGTGTGACCCAAAAACTACGTTGAGATATTAATTTTAAATATAAATTATAAAAACATGCAATAATATAATATATTATTAATTATAAAGTATAAAAAAATATATTTTTAGGTTCTAAAATGGTATGCAGGGTGTAACAGAAATATATGACAAATAACAATATATATACAGGGTGATTCTTTTATCAAACAACACTCATTATTTGAAAAAGTATTGACTTTTTTCAAATTTTTTTTTTTCAAAATTGTAGATTTATGCTGTTCTAGAATTGTATATTTTTTTATATTTTTCACCCTTATATTTAATAGGTAAACCACTATCAACTTTTGATTTTCAAATGGTAACCTATACTAAAAATTTCATAATTGAATAAAACTATTTTTTTCATTAATTATTACGTTCAAATTTTCATTTTTCGTTAATCCGTTGATGAGATATTGCTCCTCAAAGTTAGGTGGTTTTTGGAGATAGTTATAGTGTGTAAATGTGTTATACCTCGTCAGTAGATACCGCAGCTATCAGGATTTTTATGTCTCAGGGCAAAATATATCACACTTTTCAAATCAGTTCAGAAAGTACTTAGAGCCCCTAAATGTATTTTATTATGCCCATCTTTCAGGGAGTCATGAAGTTCACCCCACGAAGGTGATTGCGGCACTAGTCAGTGGTCGTAATAATTATTATCAATTATAAAGACCAGAAGTTACAAGTAATAAATTCGATATCGTTCGACCCAAGATATAGCGGTGATAATCTTTGTACCTGACAGCCGATAATACCTACATACAATAACAAACGATCATATTATTATTGGTCTGCTTCTGTTTGTAGCTTCGATCACAATACAATTTAATCTCTATTCTATGCTACGACACACCATCGACTAACATACGGAAATACAGAATTATTTTAGTCCATAAAAGTTAATGTTGTCCATGGTTTATCATTATAACTGTCTATCATACAGAAAATACAGTGTTACCAACATGTGTATTTACAAAATAAATAGTAACAGTAACTTGCTGTTTATTTATGTCACAAATAAAATCCCGTTTTTGTTACTCTAGTAGACTGCCTGTACTACAGTTGCAACAACTGTTAACTGTTTTAAATCACAGGTACAGTAATTTATTGTCTGTTGTCTGTTACTCGTTACTATTATAATTTATAGCATGGTGCCGTGGCGTCAAGCACTCAAGCCGTCAACGACCGATACTACTAAGTACTAAGTAGTAAGTACTAATTAGTAATTACTGCCTACTGGTGTGCTACAGTAGTAAACTTAATAAATTTCACATTTTCACAATAATATTATCATAATAAATAATATTCTGTGCCTTTGTAGTTTTAACGAACTAGCGGATCTAGTTAACTGGGAGCTCTAGTTAGATATTTCAATATGTTTAATTTACCAACTTACTTATTTTGTTATTTTCAGAAAAATTCTAAGACCAATTTATTAACTTGATGTACATGTGCCTACCAGAAATTCATTCGTTTGTAAGTATAAGAATTCATATTAAATATAAATTTTAACAAACTTTGGTTAAGAATGGAAAAAATGTAACATACACATTAATTATAATACATAAATATATGTATTTGTATACAATTTGAATAAAAAATACATGTTATTTATATTTAAGCTTATGTTCAAATTGCTTGCCATCTTCAGTTAAACATAAATGTAGACGTTTTAATACTTCAGAGGAAGTGGATTTTTTCAATATTGAGTTTTCAATTCTGTTGCAACAATATCTTATTCTTTGTTTAAGTTCCTCCACACTATTGCATTTTTCTTTATACACTTCATTTTTTAGATGGCCCCAAAAAAAGAAGTCAAGAACACTCAAATCGGGGGAACGAGGTGGCCATTGAATAATGGGGCTGTGAGTTCCAAACCAGTTATTGTCTCCATACATCTTATTGAGGTATGCACGTACAGCCAAGGTATTATGTGCTGGTGCACCATCTTGCTGCCAAATCAAATTCAAACGTTGCTGAAGTGAAATATTTTCCAATAGTATGGGTATATCATCTTTCAAAAAACCAAGATACTTATTGCCATTAAGATTTTCCTCAAAAAAATATGGACCAATTAAATGCTCATCAATAATCCCACACCAAACATTCACACTCCAACGAACTTGCTTATTGGTCTCATTTATCCAGTGGGGATTTGAATGATTCCAATAGTGATTGTTGTGGTGATTTACATGTCCATTATTGTGGAATTTCGCCTCATCAGTCCAAAGGATATTTGTTAAAAATTGAGGATCCTCTTCTAATTTTACCATGCAATGTGCAATAAAATTGAGTCGCCTTTCATAATCACTTGCTAGAAGCTGCTGAACAGGATTAGCCAGGTATGCATGGTATTTATGTTTTTTGGCAATTCTTTGAACTGAAGAATATGTCATGTTTAATTCTTCTAAAATTTAAAAAGTAGAATAGGTACTTATTTTGTAATTTGTAATGTTTATTTAATAGGAAAACCAAATACCTGCTACAGTTCTCAAAGATATATGAGGATTTTCAATCAATTTGGCCAACACCGAAAATGAATTATCGACATTAATGGCTGTCGAAACTCTACTTTTTGGTTTTATAAAACTTCCGTATTCTCGCATATTTTTGTACAAAACATAAAATCTTGTATGTTCTGGACAAGGACGATCAGGATATTGTGTTTTATATAATCTATAATTAATATAACACTACATGTATAATATATGTAATTATGTATGTATAATCACTTATATATTTGTGTTTTTTTGCTGTCCATTTAAAAAAAAATATATGTATAAAATTAATTTTAACATTAATTTATGTTTTATTACATCACATAACTTCACTAAGATACAGAAATATGCAGGGTTGATACAACAAATTGTTTTAGTTACCAAAGAAACTCACATTTTAAAATTTTAATTATAATTTAATAAGACTTAAAAATGTTATTTTATAAATTAGCAACAATGATTAAAATTAGTATAAATAATGATTTTAAGTAATAGTGTTGAACATCTGAACCCTGGATATTTGTTTAATTTAATAAATAATTTCAAACCTTGCTGCAGCTCTGGTATTTTTTGCCATTTCAATATAGCAACTGAGCATATCACTTTTTTCCTTATTTGAATAAAACATAATTTAAAAACAACTTTTAAATGTAATAAACAATAGGAAACTTTTAAATGTAATAAATCAACAACTTTTAAATATAATAACTGATATTTATTATACAAATGATATTTATTAAAAAATTTATATGTAGACAAATAGAATGTATCATGTTCATATACAATTTTATACAACACATTTTAAATATAAAAATGTAACCATAAAGTATTGGTTTTTCCTCATTGATATAAAGATTGATAGTTGACATTTTTCACATGATTGAGATAAAGTTTATCTTAGTATTACCTTATTCATATACTATTGGTGTTCAATATACTATTACTATTGGTATTGTTACATTTATCTTAGTATTACCTTATTCATATACTATTGGTGTTTCACATTCTGTGTGTTCTAAGTAGAATTAGAATCTCAGAGTACTAAATAAATATTTTAAAAGTGTTTAAGTATTTAAGTATTTTTAAGTATTAAAATTTAATATGGATAACTTTCCAAGTTCTTACGAACAATTTTTAAAACTGGATACAATGGTGTCTAAGAATGTGACAGAGGCACAGTTTTACAAGGAAGGCTATTTATCAATTATTGTTTTAATGGAATCATCAATGCAAGTAAGTTCTATAGTTTAAATTGTAGCTCAAATTAAATTAGTAAGTCTTATACTAAGGATTTTTAAAGAATATAACATGAAAAAAGAATAGTGTCATTGTTTTTAAAAATATTTTATCAGAAATTACATACTTTGGAGTCCAAAAACAAAAGTTTGGTGGAAGAAAATCAAAGACTTGAGGATGAAATTGACAAATATATAGAAGAAGCAGGATCCGCAGAGTTACAAATAGTAAATCATTTTAAGTTAATTATTCATATAAAGAACAATTTTTAGGAAGTTCAATTAGGGTCACGCACATGTGCTGATTTTCATTATAAA